TCAGATAGCAAATATGCAAATTCTTAGTGTAAACCATAAGGCACCAAATTAACTTTGGTGATTATTACACAGAATATAGAGTTTTTTTCACAGTTTTAAAGTCAATTTGCTCATTAAAAAGAGTACCATGAAAAGGACTACATTGACAGAAGAAAAATACAAGAAGAGGCTTAGAAACATAGAGAAGCATAGAGGAAAATATACAGAGAAAATTATATCTAATGACCCTACAAACCTGAGTCATTTCTAACTGTAGAATCAGAGGAAATAACAGGAACTGCTTAAGGTCCTTCTTAGGAGCCAGACCCTGGGCTGAAGACACAGCATGTGCCACTGCAATCTGGAGAAATGCTATTTCCCCTTTTTACAGATTAAGAAAAAGAGGCCTGAGAAGTTTAGGAATATCTTATGTTACACAATAAACTGAAGACAGGACTCAAATTCTAGAAAAATCTGAGGTCAATGCCTAGACAGACGACAAAGGTCAAAATCTTATATTTACAACAAGACTCATTATATGCCTATAATGTGAATAACCACGCCTTCTGGTACGCCACAAAACAATCCCTGTTTGAATCTGTTTCCAGTATAATTAGTGACAACCCTACCTTTCTCTCTCAGAAGTGTAAAGGAGACAAAATATTAAATGGTTATCCTGCTTCAATGCCAGTGGCCCATGATGAAACTTGTCTACACAATTTTTCCACTGAAAAATAAAAATTGGAGGTCCCCTTGTTCAAAAAGCAGGGGGGAAAATACTAGTAAGGGTTTGGAAAGACAAAGCTTTTTTTCTTTCATGTATCTGCTCTGCTGGTGCCCCACTGTCCCACCTGATCTCACTTGCAAAATAAAAGATAAAATCAGTAAGAACTTCAAGATGGCGGTAGATGAGCGTTAAACCCTGAGCTCAAAGCCCTGTACCACTGCACAGGATGCACACCCATGAAGAGCCCTGAGTCTGCCCTTTCTCCGTCCACTCAAAATGGGTCTGTGATCTTGGCATGCTGTGTCGCTGGACTGCAAACAGGAAGCAGGCCACAACCTACTATTGTCCACACTCCAGACAATAAATACTGGATATTAGGCCTATAAAATCATTTCTCTAGAAGAACTGTTTTATAGTATTTCTAATGCAACACAAAAATTCATTTCCCAAACAGAACAAGATATAAAAGTAAATTAAGTAAATATAACAGTAAATTAAGTCACTCTCTAGCATTTTATCAATAATCTCAAAAACAACTCATCCAGATAATGTAACCTACCCATGATCTCAAGTGAAAATTCAAAATACCTGAGATGAAACAATAGTGCATTACAAAGTCTTTAATATCTCAATGCCTCATTGAAGACATGTTTCTGGTTTAAAGGCAGGTATAGGTCTCTTTTGAAACTTTTTGTGGCACAAATTCAAATGTGCATGAGCAAAGCTTAAGAAACTTAAGACCAAATGGGGGCGAGCGGAATTTGAATGTTCAGGATGATTGAGGAACTACCCTTAAAAAACAGGGTTAGGAGGATGGAGGATGCATCAATTCATTGATTCATTCCATCACTCAATAAGCATTTATTGATGAGCTACAGTGTTACAAGCACTGCACATAATTCTGGGGAAGCACAGACAAGCAAAATATATATCCTGGTCCTCAAGGAGTGTGTAGTAGAATGAGACAAAGGGAAACAAATAAATGCCTCAACTACTTTGGCTTCCAGAAGAAGTAAATATGGAGTCTAGTGGGTATAAAATAGGGAGTAGTAATATGGGGTAGAGAAGTAGATACAAAGCAGGGAACAATTCTGGGACAGAAGGAGAAAACTGAGCCTTAAAAACCCAGTAGGAATCACCAGGTATATAAAGAAGAACAAAGGCTGAGGCCTGAGAAAACATGGCACATCATGGGAAGGGCAAGTCATTCTGAATGAGGACAGCCACCTTAAAGCACAGAGCTTTGGTCAAACAATGTGTGCTCCTGGGTGCCTAGGCAGCAACTAGAAAAAAAGATGCATATGGAATGATACTATGGTACAGAGATAAGAGTGATGAGCATAGGTCCTCTGGGGGATGGGGTAGGAGAAAAAGCACTTTATTTATTTATTTATTTATTTATTTATTTATTTATTTATTTTTGTGGTGCTGGGCATTGAACCCAGGGCCTTGTGGATGCGAGGCAAGCACTCTACCAATGAGCTATATCCCTGGCTCCAAAAGCCCTTTTTAAAAAGGCCAAAAAAGGTAGAATTGAGGAAACAGGACTCAAAGGTATTTAAGATCTTAGTAACAAATTTTCCCCTCTGGTTCTATAATCTGTTTTTCTTTTTTTGCGGGGGGAGCCCATGGAAGGGGTACCAGAGATTGAACTCAGGGGCACTTGACCACTGAGCTACATACCCAGCCCTATTTTATATTTTATTTAGAGACAGGGTCTCACTGAGTTGCTTAGCCTCTTACTGTTGCTGAGGCTGGCTTTGAACTCGCAATCCTTCTGTCTTAGCCTCCAGAACCCAGATGTGCACCACCAGCCAGGTGGTTCTATGATCTTTTTTAAAATTTTCTTTCAAGATTTTTGTTTTTTTTGGTGGGGTGCTGGGAATTGACTCCAGGGCTTTGTGCATGTGAGGAAAGCACTCTACCAACTGATCTATGTCCCTAGCCCACTATGATCTTTTAATCAAAGGAAATAATGCCATTTGTGTTGCTCATTCATGGACCCATAGTAAAAATTTGTTGTTAGAACTAAAAATGTGTTTTCCATCTCTTCTTCCTGTTCCTAATAAAGTCACACTTTATTCACATCAGTATGACTTAAGGCAATCACAGAAATCTAAACCAATGATTAATCAAATATTTAGATTTGACTTAGGATCGCACTATCAATTCATTGCAACATATTTGCTGCTCAATTTTTTTAATACTATGGTTGATTTTTTAAAATAATTTTAATTGTCTCTGTTTCTGCTCATTCCCTTAGAATAGGATTCTAGAAGATAAATTATCAAGCCAAAGAGTGTGAATATTTTTAAGCTCTTGGTACATGACAGTGTAGTCTGATATGAAAACTAGATTGATTACATCAACTACAGGTGACCAAGTAAATTCATAAGGGGATTAAAGTTGCTATAATAACTCCTAAAAGAGAAAACTGAATATAATAATTTAAAATAGATTTTTGGCTTTGAATAACCAGTCATGACCAAAAATAAGACAGAGTAACCCTTTGTTTAAGGTGACATTCAGGTCAATAAGTGCATTTGTGTATGTAAACATACATAAGCACAAATACTGGGTAAAGTAGAAGAGTTCATAATTTCTAAATAAGATTAAAAACAGTGAAATCATAATATAATCTCCTACATGTAAAAAGGAAAATACAATTTATTTTAGACTTCCCATACTATTTTACCTTGTTGTCTATATAGGAATAATAAGTTTTCAATTGTAATAATCAGATGTTCAGATGAGAGGAAAAACTGATGAAGATCAACAAATCATTTTTTAAGGTAGATTATGTTAGTAGTGTATTTCTCCAGCTTAGTATTCTGCAGGGTACTTTTTCCAGCTATTTTCAAAAAGCAATACCTCTTTAAGAAATGACTCAAATTCTTCAAAAGTCAAAGGACTCTGTCACCCACAAAGTACCATGAAAGCCAAATCTAAAGCTACTAAAAGTTAAATCTCCTTAAAAAACTCTTTTCACAGTCACTATGGGAAAGAAGTGTAAAATCATCCTATGTATCACCAATTGCCAGGATATTCTCAAATACCTGAACCATTGCAAATAATAGGACTGAACTATACTGATTTTGAGAAATCAAGCAGTAGCCAACCTGTGCATTTTACATCATTTGAGACATCCTTCTTTCCTTCTTGACTCAGCCAAGAAGTGAATTTCCTCTATGGGGACTGTAAGCAGAAACTTTACAGATTTCATACAACTGGGCAGGAAGTTTGGCACTTGAAATATTTCCCTTCAGACAGGAGGGGTATGGAACAGAGTGAAAGAAGTGGAAGTTTAGAGGATTTGAGTTGAGATTGCAAAGCTTCTTTAAATGATGTTGTTGCTGGCATCTGGGTGGACAGGAGCCAATCTTCAAATTCTTTGTCTTGTCAGCAGTGAACAGGAAAAATGTACTGTTTGAGTGATGTCTCAGAAGTTACTTTCACTAAATTTTGCCCCTCCTGCCCTAAAATGAATGAAATATTTTCAAAGCACACTTCCAGTGAGTCAAATTGAAACCTGCAAACCAAGTTCGTGCCCAGTTCTACGAAATCCTGAAGTTGTTAGACTCGAGTTTTATTACACCACTCTCATGGGCTCATGTGCATAGCAACAGAGCAGAGGATAGATTTAAACCAGGAGGAAGGAGATTGTAGGACCAAGGACGGGGGAGCGCACATGTGGCTTTAATATCCAACAGCTGCGATAGAATGGTAACCCCACCACCACCACCCCCCAGCCAACCCCCGCTGCTCCTTCTGTACCCGCCCCGCCAAGATGTTGCAAAGATTATAACTAAGGGGACTTCACTGCCAGGTTATCTGAGTAACTCCAGCTCCAGTAGATTCGAAGAATTTTTTAAATCTACATGTACCTGAATGCAGCAGCTTAGATTTTAATCACCAAGGCTTTATAACAAAATCTCCAGGGTTAGGAGACCGAGGGAAGAGGTGGGGGGTCACACTGCAAACTGATCAAACTGCGACGGAGGAAATAAAAAGTGAGGGAAGATCAGGCAGCCAGGATTTCCCACACAGGACGCCTTCCTTTAGAGCTTAACTTTTCAGATTCTCAGCTCTCCAAGGCCCTGGTCACTCAGTGGGACTCTAACCATTGACAAATCCCTGCAGCGGATCATCGCGACCGCGAACTCCGCGTCCCAGCGCGGATCGGATGCCCCCACCGGTCCCTTAGTGCCCACAGAGACAATGCCGCGGATGCTCCAGCACCCACTCCCCCTCGCCGCCCCGCGGTCCCCCTGCGTAGCAGCGCAGGGGCACTCACCGACACTAGGAACTCCAGGGTGCCCACGTAGTCCCGCTCGGTCTTCTGCAGCTCGCTGAGCACGCACACGCGCAGCCGAAGCTGTTTCTCCATGTCCTTGGCGCTCTCGGCGCGGCCGTCCCCTCGGCTCTCCTCGCTCATGGTGGGCGGCGGGACGCGGGGCTTGCCGGCCGTGCTGCGCGCTGCCCCGCGCGCTTCTGCTGCTCTGCTCCCGGCGGCTAGAGAGGAAAGTTGCCGCCTCGGTAAAGTCCGAGGAGGGACGGACGACTTTACATGCTGTGGTGAGGATGGGGAGGTGGGAGAGGAGGGCACTCAGACTGGAACTCCCGCGCGACAGGCGCGGGGCTCTGCACAGGAAACTCCCGGGAGAGCAAGCTCGCGCTCGGGCTCTGAGCGCCCAGCCCCGCTGCTCCGGCCTCACGCGGCCTGAGCCCGAGTGTAGGCGGCTCCTGCAGCCACAGCGGTGTCTTGGACATTCATCAAATGCTTTCTATCCATGTGACTCCGACCCTTTACCCTTGGCCAGATCTCAGGAAAAAGGAAACACAACCCTGGGGAAGTGTGTCGTGCTAGCTAACTAAACACACACACACACACACACACACACACACTCACTCTCTCAGCACTTGAGATGGAACTAATTGGAGGTTCCCAAACCTAAGAGGACACACTCCAAGACAGCTCCAGGGTTGCTCCTGAGACTCCCGCCTATTGTTAAGCTTTACTGTGTTTTGCACAAATCCTGAAAGCAAAGAAACAAGTCCCCGGCGGTTACATAACTTGATGGGAACAAAAACAACCCCGGTATTGACCCTCCCATCTTTGAAAAGAAACACATTGATTTCTGGTTTTATTCAGGCACAAAACAGGTTTGCATTTAAAAACCCCCAACTGAGAATATTTCACAGAACAGACACCCTCCTGTCTGCACTTGGAAAGTCAATTAGCATAATAAATGAGGATGCTATAGGAAAGTGACAGCCCCTACCCATTCAATAAACTCCAGATACAATAAGCATCACCCTTGCAGCGGGGTGTTTAGACATCTTTGCATGTCTATAACTTTTCTTCAAGGTCCGCATAGTATGTAAATTCAAGGAGAGGCAGAATCTTTGTGCTAGTTTTGTTTCTAAGAGCTGCTGTGATTTAAAAAGGTAAAACTGTTATTGAATGCTCATGGAAAAGAGACAAAGAAGGAAAGAGATTGAGAGATTATCTTAGGTTTGAGGATAGAAACAGAGCATTCTGATTTTAAGGTTTAAATTCATTGCCTTTTCTCACTTGGAAATAGAGTCAAGACCTCCAAGAGCTGATTTCTTCTAATGAATGTAGCAAACAAAATAATCCATATATATTTTCATCTACATATTAACCACATATTTTTCAGAATCATTTTTTATCTATTTAAAACAACTTTAAACAGTCCACACACAACTAATGACATCTAAATAAGTTTATTTAGATGAGTGAATGGTTTTGATGCAAGAAAGGGGCATATTAATTTGTTCCCATAGTTGAAAACACTTGTGAAACTCTAAAAAAAGATCCTTTCCTCAGTATTTTCATTAAAATCTACATCAGTTTGATGATGATGTCTTTTCAGAGCATGATTTTAGGCTGTAATAAGTAATGAGACAGAGAGGAATTGTACTTTCTTGAAGGAAAGATGAAGTTTTGAATGATGTGTGTGGAGCTGATGAAAAAGATGCAGATTTTCCTCTTTCTTTTGCATATGGCTAAAGAGATAGCCGAGAGCAGAGAACAAATAATATAAAAAGCTTTACATCCTGTGGCGGAAGAATGGAGAGCAAGGCACATTAAAGAGCAGACCTCACAGCACCTGGTAAACAATAAACAAAAGAAAAGGAAGAACTAGGAATCACACATCCAGTGGTGAATGGAAACCTCAAACCTAACCTGCCTCTCCATGGACTACAGACAGCAAAGAATGAATGCATCTTTTCCTCTTTAGGTCTCCACCCTTCCTCAATGGAAAAAAAAAAATAAGTTACCTAGAGCTTTTCATTAGAAACTTTAGATAATCCAGAGTAAATTTATCTAGAGCTTTCCATCAGGAACTCTAGATAAAAGAGAATCCTCTTAAAATTATCCCCAAACAGAAAACTGCTTATGCAATTTCCTTTTAACAACAACTTTAGTCCCTAAGCAACCCACTCAAACTGCTGTCTCCCCTTTGCAAACTATATGCTTGATTGTGAATTACCCCTGAAGTTTAACCCATCCAAAACATTTGCCTTGGCTTCACCAACATGCCTCCAAGACCTTGTGAAGAATGTAGTGTTAAGGCACCAGGACTACAGATGCACTTATTTCTAGGCAAAATTTCTCAAAGTGGACAATAGACCATTGCATTACAACACCTAAGCTCTCCTTAAAGTCAAATATTCCTGGGCTCCTCCCCCAAAATGTATTGAATAAGTATCTCAGACATTACACTTTAATGTCTTTTAACAAAGCTCTCAGATTATTCTTAGGCTCACTAACATATGAGAACCACCATGTGAGGACTTAACAATAGACTCAGGGAGAGGGTCATAAGTGTAAGTAACTATATATTAAAGGTAAGGGGTAATGAATGCTTTGCCCAAAAAAAATGGAAAATTAATTAATTAATTTTTAAAAATTCTAAAAATGCAATGGAAGTTCGAAGATACTCATTTATTTGTGCAGATTCAAATTTTTCTCAGAAGTGCCTGTGTATAAAATATTATATTTACAGTTTCTGACCATTTTTCTGCTCCTCAGTCTGCTCCTCAGTATCATTTACAATTAATGAACAACTCCAGGACACCATGTAATGCCTTCTGCCAGTCACCTTTCAGTGTCTTCTGTAACCCTGGCTGGAGTTCTTAATTCTCCATCAAAGACATAAGAGCATAAGAAAACAGGGCTGGAGTATCTGGAAACTTTCACTTTGATGGTAAATAAGGTCTTTCATAAACTCTGAATGTGTTGTATCCCTTCCCACTTCCCCTATTGAAATTTCAGGCTCTGCCTGCCAGGAAAAGGAAAGCAACAACCAAAATGATGGACAAGATCCAGTTTTTTCCTGAAATACTAATGAGGTTGAAGCCTCCAATAAAAAAGAGATGAGAGAAAAGAACATCAAGAGAAGTAGCTGAGTACTAAACTAGCTCAGCCATTAAATTTATTTCGTATGCATGAACTTGGTGTGGTTAGAATCCATTATCATAAAGTTCAAAGAGCCAAAGCTCAGGAGCACAGTGGGCTTCCTTTGGTCAGGCCCAGAGAAGGAAAACTCCTGGACTAAGATACTGAAAAAATCCAAGGCTGGTTCTTTGCGAGAAGACAGCTCTCCAAACCTATTCAGAAAGAGGTCATTTTAGCCTCTTCATCATTTTTATACTACTATTTGTCTGGGTAAAGGACTAAATTAAATTAGATACTGAAGATCAGTAAAAGATATAGCTTTAAAAAAAAGCAAGATTGCTTTAATGCATAGCCATCTTGTTAAATAGAGGACTCCAAGTATCCAAATACTCTTTATCCACAGGTAAAATTGATGTATAAGTGTATCTGTAGTCCTGGTGCCTTAACACTTAAAATTAATTTCCTTTACTGCTCTGATCTATGATAGATGTCCCTACAGTATATTAGTGTAGAAAAATATTGCAGACACCTTGCATTTATGTTAGTGTATATTTTAAGAGTCTTCAACAAGAAGTAATTCTGATAATATTTATTAATTTAGTTAATAATTTCTGCCTAATCCCTCAGTTACTTGCACTTCACTTTGTTGATCATTTAGCATGATAAGTACAGCATGTTCTGGAGCATGTAATCAATTCTATCATACTGATACAAGTATTTAGAATGTGTCTTGTTTAAAAACACAAAATATAGTTTTCATAAACCATATTTTAATTTCCAGGACAATATTTTATGGCACAGCAAACTAAATAAATGTTTAGATGATGTTACTTCAGCAAGACTCCAAAGTTCTTAAAGATGTGATCATTTCCAGATTAGCTTAATTAAGAACAAATCATCCTCATAGCCATAATCTAACATGTAATGGGTAATCACTTTCTCAATATGAGGACTTAACTTATAACCATCCCAGCAAAATCAACAGGCAGTTTGGGTCTGTTATTAGTCTCAGAAGAAGATCATCCTTGAAGTGTTCATCTACCTGCCATTCTCCCTCCCGGCAACTTCCTTAAAAAATTTGTCTGACCCATATACCTTTAAACTACACCCTATTTCTCTAGTCCCTGGAAAAATTATTCTAAAGAGTTCTACTCATTTCCTGTGATAGGCAGAATAATGCTCACACACATACAAAGACACCTTCATCCTAATCCCCAGAACTACAAATATGTTGCTTTAAATAGCCAAAGGTCATCACATACAGGTGTGATTGGATTAAGGATCTTGATATGGAGGGATTCTCCTGGACAACCAGAGAGACTGGTGTGAGGACCTAATCACATGAATCCTTAAAAGCAGAGAACCTTTCCAGGTGTGATTACAGAGGGAGATGTGACTGTGAAGGATGGTCAGACATGCAGCACTGCATTGAAGATAGAGGGAGCAAGGCACTAGCCAAGGATCACATGCAGACTGTAGAAGCAGAAAATGGTTCCCTAGAGACCCCAGAAGGAATGTACCCGTTAACACCTTGATTTTAACCCAGTAACACCAACTTTGGACTTCTTTTTTTTTAAATATTTTTTTAGTTGTAGTTGAACACAATGTCTTTATTTAATTTATTTTTATATAGTGCTGAGGATCGAACCCAGCGCCTCACATGTGCTAGAGGAGCACTCTACTGCTGAGTTACAACCCCAGCCTCCCAACCATGGACTTCTCACCCTCAGAACTATATGGTAATAAATGTGTGTTGTTTTAAGCTACTGAATTTATTATTCAGCAAAAAAATCTAATACATTGTCTTTACCTCCCAATCTTTTCCCAAATTCCTATAATATGATTACTCTCTGATTAGCGGAATAGCACTGATCTTGTAAGGGTCATCAGGGTCCTTTATGCTGCATCCAATGGATGCTTTTCCTTCCTTGTCCTATTTTACCTTCCTGTAGCATTTGACAGTGGTGACTGTCTCTCATCCAGGTAAAGCTCTTTGCTCTGCTTTCTATGATATTGTTGATCTGGTTTTTCTTTATCTATTTTGCCTTTCCTTGCAGAGTTCTCTTCCATGGCCCATTTCTGAAAGTTGATGTTCTTGGGAGTTTGGTCCTAGGCGACCTTCTTCCTCTTGGCCCTTTATTCGTCATCTCCTATTCTCAATTGGTTAAGGATTGCCTCATGGGCATTAACCGGTCCTTATACTTCCATGTTACCTATGCATAAGTGCCTAGAATTTTTCACAGAGAAGATTTGAGCCAGAGGTCAAAAAGGATAATCACTTTTAGACTGTTCTTACATGAAGTTGGTCTGAGCTTTTGTAGAACTGGTTCTATGATCATCAGGAAAAAAAGAAGAAAGGTCAAGAGGGTTTTTTTCCTAGAATACAAGAGAAATGTGATCCTCCTTCAAATCCTTCAAGATAAAGGCAAATGTCATTTATGACCTAGCTTCTCTGGCTTCATTCTGTGCCAGTTTCCCAACTTGCAATATGTACCCTAGTCAGACTAGAGTGCTTTTCAGAATTGTTAAAATGCCAAGCTCC